TTGTATTATACTTTCATTTTTTAAAAAATTAAGTTTAAAGATTGTTTTCTTACAAAAAATATTTTTAAAACGTATTTTTTGTTTATATCGCACCCTTATTATTTTTTAAAATTTCTTTAAATTATCTATTAAATCTCTGAAGGTGGCAAACATATCTAATACTTCTTCCTATTTTCCCCATAACAACAACAATCCTGTGAGGTAGGTTGGACTGCATGAGACTGACTGGCCCAAAGTCACCCAGCTAGCTTTCATGCTTAAGGCAGGACTAGAACTCAGTCTCCTAGTTTTTAGGTGGTGCCTTCACTTCTAAACCAATGTGACCGAATAGTAACCTAAGCAAAAGAATTATGAAATCATATTCAGTTCCTCATACTTTGGGGGATGGGGAGTGGATGAGATCATAAAACTGTCCAGAAAAGTATATACAGTACATATATTTTGTGAAATACATCCCTATGATTTCTCAATATTTAAATTTAAGGGAAGATTGCTCTCAGGGGCAGACATTGCTTGAAGTCCACTTCTCAATGTCTAATAATAATAGAGATGTAGTTGAGGGAGATAAAATGTATGGAAAGGAAGAGTGCATGCGTGGTTGACTAAATAGACACTGATTGAAAGGTGTATGAAAGAAGAAACTTCATTTATTTATTAATCGTTTTGATTTATTAACTGGCACACCCTCATATAACGGAATACTGGCAGTTGAGAAATAAGAATGCTTCCCCATTTTCTGTATGGGTTTCAGAACCAAGACTTGTGGTATCATCTTTAAGCTTCTTTTTCATTGTTTCTAGCCAAGTGGATATGCTTCCAAACAATTTTTTTTAAACAATGCTTTTTGTAACCCATCTGCACATAAAGATGATGCTAGAAGTTGGTGCTGTGTATCATGCAATCTCATATCATCATCAATGAACAATAAACATCAGTGTCTCAAAGGTACTTTTTCAAAAAAAAAAAAAAGTAAGTGGATTATGGTTTTTCGTTGAGGAAGAGGTTTCACTTCTCATCCAAGAAGCTTCTTCAGTTCTGACTGGATGGTGGCGGAAGGAGGAATAGAAGGATTATATTCATTTTTAGTCATCTCATCATTAGCACTCTCAGGGTCACCTGAATCAGAGTACAAATGGTTGTGGAATCTTCTTGGAACTGCAGAAAGGACTGTGTTGTAAACAGGAGATAGTTGGTGTCGTATACCTGCCCCTCTGTTGAGAGGGGGCTGTTCAATTGAATAGATACAAAATGAGAACCATTTGTTGCAGCTGTCAAAATCTTACCCAGATCCTCATGGTCTTCTACACGATGATCAAATTTGAAGAAGAGGCAAATTGGCTCTTTTCCCCACTGATTCAGTTCTCTATCTGGGTAGCTTGGTGTTTACATGAAGTAACTCAAGATAGTCATGCCACAATTATCTTCTTAATTGTTTTTTTAGTCAATTTCTGATTTCAAGATAAAATTAGCTCTTACGATGTTAAACTGATAAATGATTTTGTTTATATTTGTTACAACTGAATGTTACTTTTAAGAAAATAATTGTATTATTTCTTTTTTCATACAATTCTTATATGATGTTTACATTTTGTACATTTTCAATATATTCCTTCTTTTTAATTATTTTCTTACAATAGATTTTTTTTAAAAAAAAGATAAATTATAAATAACTGGTATTTACATTGTCTTATCACTTCTACTGCCTACAGAGTGAGGATTGCTAACTTTTGACCATTTAATGGAATTTTACTCAAGAGTAAAGAAGTCATCTAGTGCCCAAATTAAAGCTTTTTCCTGCTTCTATGAAAGTGACGATTGGCTACTGTGCTGTCCCACTCACTCATATGCACACGTAATCGTGGTTTAGTGGGTTTATTAATATTGCCCAGCAGATCCCTTCACCAAAAATCAAGAACTGCCCCAATTAAGTCCAGCCAAAAGCAGACCAATGCTAGTCCACAGAGCAATGGCCAATGAGTCCACAAGGCACTTGAAAGTTTCCCAAACAGGATAAATCCACCAGGCAAAGTCAAAACCACAACCCAGGAGAGTTCATGAGGCAAGAAAAGTTCAGAGTTCACAAGGCACAGTCCAAAGTCAAGGCACGGTGTCAAATCCAAAGCAAGGCAGGAATCACCACGACCAGGAAACATACAGTTCAGAAATGAATACATTATTCCCAGCATCATCTCCACCTGTCTGCTGTGCTAAATAGCCAGCTCCTGGTGCAGCCCATCAAGAGGGATGCGGCTGCCTCCTCAGAAGTAGTCAAGCTGACCTTCACTGCTTCTGCCTTTCTCTATCCTATATGTTCTCCAATCAGGTGCAGAAGGCAGTTCCTGTTCCTCATCACTGACTGATTGCAGCTGTGTGCTTTCCCCACCTGAAGCCTCAGGGCTGCCCTATGGTAGCTATGCTTCAGCCAAATCACTCTCAGCTGGCTGCTCGTCCAGTTTCTCTCCCATCAATCACTACCCCTCACTTGGACTTGAAACCCCTGCCTTGGAGACATTGGGCAACCCCTCCTGATGTGCCTGAGACTGGTTCATCTTCCTCCAAACTGATATTCAGACAGGCATCTGGAAAAGTGACTGGGGGAGTCATCACTCACAGGAAAGGTGAGTGGACTGGATGCTTTCTTTCCTCCCAGGCTTAGCTCTCAATAGCAATTGTTGATGCATTCCTTGCCTGCTGCAGTGACATCATTCTTACCTCAAAATGCTCAGGAACTTTTCAATGATCCAGGCTTTCCTGACCACTCTTTACTGGATGCTCAAATAGTTAGTCACCAGCATCAGTTTTCCCAATCCTTCTCATCACATCGTATCTAAAGTCACAAATTCCCAACTTCTTTTTATTGGATGCTCTCATATCTTTGGTACTTTATTCAGTGGAGTTTTATATCTGCTGCCAAAGCTATTTCTCTTAAGTTTTTTTAAATATAGAAATAGGGTTTTAATTCTGTTTCCAGTGATGTGCAACCTGAGACAACTAATAGTTACCACAGAAGAGAGGGGTAAACTTTTTAAATAAATAACTAAAGAGTGACTGGATGAAGAACAGAATAACAGGAAGACTTCCAGACAGAACATGAGAACCATCTTTAAGAGCCCTAAAAATCTTATCAAGGTCTTCAGGGTGAATGGCCTTCTACAGTATGATCAAATTTGGGGAAAACTGGCCTGTATTGGGTTCAGAGAGAAGCTGAGGAAGGAGGAGAGCTGGTAGTAATTGTTCAGGTGTCCTACAGAGTCAGACTTCAGGATGGGCACATTCAAGTGAAGACCTTGAATAATGGAAAAAATAAATATCTGAAACTCTACCAATCTCTCCATTTCTAACATCTTTGGCTCTATACACCACCACAATGGAGTTGGAATGAAACAAACACAATGTGCTTTAACTGCAGACTGTCAGCTTTAATTTGAGGGTATGTACATCCAACTCAGGTGAACGGTGTAGGACTTACAGCAGTTTGCATATGTGCCTCCCACTTGTTAAGGGACCAAAAGTAATGGGACAGAATAATAATCATAAATCAAACTTTCCCTTCTTAATACTTGGTTGCAAATCCTTTGCAGTCAATCACAGCCTGAAGTCTGGAACGCATAGACATCACCAGACGCTGGGTTTCATCCCTGGTGATGCTCTGCCAGGCCTCTACTGCAACTGTCTTCAGTTGCTGCTTGTTCTTGGGGCATTTTCCCTTCAGTTTTGTCTTCAGCAAGTGAAATGCATGCTCAATGGGATTCAGGTCAGGTGATTGACTTGGCCATTGCATAACATTCCACTTCTGTCCCTTCAAAAACTCTTTGGTTGCTTTTGCAGTATGCTTTGGGTCATTGTCCATCTGCACTGTGAAGCGCCGTCCAATGAGTTCTGCAGCATTTGGCTGAATGTGAGCAGATAATATTGCCCAAAACACTTCAGAATTCATCCTGCTGCTTTTGTCAGCAGTCACATCATCAATAAATACAAGAGAACCAGTTCCATTGGCAGCCATACATGCCCACGCCATGACACTACCACCACCATGCTTCATTGATGAGGTGGTATGCTTAGGATCATGAGCAATTCCTTTCCTTCTCCATACTCTTCTCTTCCCATCACTCTGGTACAAGTTGATCTTGGTCTCATCTGTCCATAGGATCTTGTTCCAGAACTGTGAAGGCTTTGTTAGATGTTGTTTGGCAAACTCTAATCTGGCCTTCCTGTTTTTGAGGCTCACCAATGGTTTACATCTTGTGGTGAACCCTCTGTATTCACTCTGGTGAAGTCTTCTCTTGATTGTTGACTTCAACACACATACACCTACCTCCTGGAGAGTGTTCTTGATCTGGCCAACTGTTGTGAAGGGTGTTTTCTTCACCAGGGAAAGTATTCTTCGGTCATCCCGTGGTCTCCCAGGTCTTTTGGTGTTGCTGAGCTCACTGGTGCATTCCTTCTTTTTGAGAATGTTTCAAACAGTTGTTTTGGCCACGCCTAATGTTCTTGCTATCTCTCTGATGGATTTGTTTTGTTTCTTCAGCCTAATGATGGCTTGCTGCACTGATAGTGACAGCTCTTTGGATCTCATCTTGAGAGTTGACAGCAACAGATTCCAAATGCAAATAGCACACTTGAAATGAACTCTGGGCCTTTTATCTGCACATTGTAATTGGGGTAATGAGGGAATATCACACACCTGGCCATGGAACAGTTGAGAAGCCAATTGTCCCATTACTTTTGGTCCCTTAACAAGTGGGAGGCACATATACAAACTGCTGTAAGTCCTACACCGTTCACCTGAGTTGGATGTACATACCCTCAAATTAAAGCTGACAGTCTGCAGTTAACGCACATTGTGTTTGTTTCATTCCAACTCCATTGTGGTGGTGTATAGAGCCAAAGATGTTAGAATTGTGTCGATGTCCCAATATTTCTGGACCTGACTGTATAAAACCCTCATGTCCAAGTCGGATAAAGAATTTCTAAATAATAAAAACAAATCGAATACACAGTACAAGGCCAACAGTTCTTTATTGAATACCAAAATTATACAAATACTGTGTCCTTATATCAAGTTCACATTTTGAATGTGTTCCCTCCTCCCTTAAATCTGAATCCCATTACTATTCCAAGCAGAAAGCCAGCCCCATTTAATGAAAAAACGAAGAAGTAAAAAAGCTGAGGCCATCCAGATCCTAGTGGGGTAGAAGTGTTGCAGTGAGGTACTTATTTCATTTGGATAAGAAATTAAGGTGTGGATTTCCACAGGTCAGCGGAGAGTCAAAGTCTCCCAGAAGGTATCAGGTTTCCAAGCCAGGGGCTCAATTGTGAATTCTGCTCTACTAGATGTTCTACCTTGCATTCTCACTACTTTGAATTACAGCTGGGCTAGGAGGAAAAGGCTGCAGTTGCTAAGCCACCTCTCCCCCCACTAGCAACTGCCTACTAGAATCATCCAACCATTATTGTTCCCTAATAGGCCTTCTATCACTGTAGTTTGGTGATGCTGTAAGCATGCTTCAAGTCATTAGTGAGGACATGACCTCAGTTTCTCCTCAGATGCTTACAAGCATGCTGTAGTGCAGGCAGCTGGCTGCAAGAAAGTTTGAAATAGCTGCACTGGAGTGTCAGCAGCAATTCTTTTCTAATGAATTTCTCTTTTACATGCTATTAGGACCTGTTTTGCATCTGACCACCTTATAGTGAGCTTGTGAATTCAAAGCTAGTAAGCCAAGAAAAGCAAAAAGCTCAGGCATTTATTTACCCATTAAACGGGAGCAGCATGACACTCAGTGGCATTGGTTCTGAAGAAGCACAGGTCAATTACATTGTGTGAAGTTGCTCCTCCTCAGAATCTGATAAACGATGAGCAGCAATAGGACAACCAGGTTCAGCAAAGGACGCCCCCCCCCCTTTATGCAAAACTTCAATTTGAGTGTTTCTGCTTCCTATGTTGTACAAGCCACCCTCCACTTCAGAATTCTTCTACCTCCTTTGCCCTGTGTTCAGAAACAGATTTTGATATTGTGCTTGTTCTACGGATGAAGTTTGTTCCACAATTGGGAAGGATTAATTGAATATCACTCCAAGTAATGAATCTGTTTAGAATTTCAAAGTTCAATGTATATTACCAGATATGTAGCAGAAAATAAAGGTACCAAACATGGGGCTTACTTTGTAATACACTATACAAATTAAATAAACAGAATATTCTGGCCATGATTGTAAGTTTTGAGTACATTAGAAAGTATGATCTAAACAAAGTCTTATGACAATTTCTCATTCTAACAGGAAAAGACAAAATGAATGATGAAATAGATTATGGGGGGGGGGGGAGAAAGCTAGGGGTGTTCCCTCTGGAATGACCAAAAAATAAGATAATATTGCTGAAATTGTTTGGATAATTATTATAATGTACCAGCAGGATTTCCAATGATTAGATCTCTATTTACAGACTCTATCTCAGCACATTTTAAACCATTTGAAGTTAACTCATGTATACTTTACAGATGGATGGGTGGGTGGAGGGAAAGCATTTAAAGAGGCACAGCCCTAGTAGTATTACTACCTTGGAACAGTGCTCTCATTTTTGCTGAGCATATGCACCCTTTTGTAAAGATACAAGCCACTTCTAATTTAATCTAAGTTTTCCATCTGTCAACTTTTAAAGGCAGAGAGCTGCTCCATGTACTGTCTAAGTATGTAGCAGCACAAATAATGAATATTGTTCTGGACAATATGTGTACCACATTGATGTATTTCTAAGAGCATTTCCTTTTCAAATTAGATCATCAGATTTATTTATTTATTTAGCATATGGCAATCAGCAGAGCAAAGCTACGATGTGCGATTTATGATGCTCGGAAGAAAATGCATAACTATTATCTAAAGGAACTCATTATCATTCAATTAGGTCCTCCAGAATCTCATCTTCTCAATGGAAAGAAAATATTGAATCCTTAACAGTTCTTTAAGTAGAGATAGATAAACAAGCAGCAGCAAATAAAAGCTAAAAAAAAAAATCTGAAGAATAAATGTAGATAATGCAGAACTTATTACATAAACTAGAGATAGGGTGGTCAAAGGAACCCTTCCATTCTCTTCCATTTTCAAAATCACACTGAGGTATTTGTGGTATAATAAGAGTCAAGATTAAGGGTCTTGTGCAGATGTCAGATCAAATTTGTTTTCTGTTTCAAAGGCTATGACCCAAGACAAAGGTTCAGATTACAAGAGAATTTCTATAGAAAGAGGAACATTCCTGAGAGTTCTGACAGTGGACCAAGTTTAGATCTAACAGGCTTTCTTTCATTAGATAGTTTTTATCAGAGATGTCATATAAGTGCATTTAAAAAGATAACCTTTAAGTGTAAGCAAGAATTAGCAATCAGGCATTGCTACAAGAAGTATTAACACTTGATGAAATGTACACCTAAAATAAAGAATAATTTTTGTCATTTCTGTATAAGGAAAAGATAAATAAAAAGGGGAATAAAATGCAGAAAGATACCAAATAACTAGAGATTTTTTAAAAAGATGAATAATGGAACAGAAATTGTCTTTGTCAGGCTGGGCTTACTACCTTCCTACCAAAAGATTTAGTTTCCACCCATTCACTGTCAAGGGACATGCAAAATTGCAATGAAAGATCCATAATTCAGGGGGTGTTTAATCTTCAGAATTATAGGACTAACGATTCACAGGAAAGTATCAACTTTCAACTTAAAAGCTTTTTTTAACACTTTTCCATGTTTTTACTATGACACCTTTTAACGTGACTAATTCAATGACTCAAAAAGGTGAATTACACATAAGCGTCTCAAAATACAAAAATAAAGTGGCATGTTCTGCTGGAATAGCAGTATTTAGTTTTGTTAAACTATCTTTACATGTAAGTGCTATTGTGGTGGGAAGGATGGGGAAGAGAGAATATTTTTAAAAATTCTGAAAAGTGCAATTCAAAAGATTCATGTCAGTGACCATGAAGATGACAGGAAAGATATGTGTGGAAATACAGATGCAGTCTTACTTGTTAAATTCCTTAATAGTTTCATTGCACATAACAAAACTACACCTGTTCAGGCAGACGAAAGGTGATCCATGATTAGCAAAACTAACCTACCATTGTTCTCTAACTTCCACTTCAGTATCTCTGAATTGAAAAAAGCAGTAATTACATAGGGAAAATACTGGTGGACAAAGATTTAAGACATCATTGTACAGATGTTGGGGAAAAACAAAACTGGTGAGTCAGTTTCAAAGGAGAAAAATATCTAGGGATGCCTTGCTGACTTGTATCATACTTAAACTGGTCACTTAATTAATTTATTTTCTCAATTAACTCATTTTCACATACACACTGAGCCCTAAACTAACTAGGTGGGTTTACGCAACATAGTAAAACCACAAAAAACTAATCATGTGTAGCATTTTATGCAAATTCAGCCATTAGATTTGTAATTGGCCTGGTTAAGTATATTGTGCAAATACAGGTAGTGCTCAACTTACAACACTTCACTTAGTGAACATTCAAAGTTACAACAGCACTGAACAAAGTGACTTATTTTTCACACTTATGACCATTGCAGCTACCCCATGGTCTCATGATTTATATTCGGATACTTGACAACTGACTCACATAAATGACAATCACATTTATGATTGTTGCAGTGTGCTGGGGTCATGTGATCACCTTTTACAAATCTTCTGACAAGCAAAGTCAATGGGAAAACCAGATTCACTTAACCATTTGTGTTACTAATTTAACAACAAATATGGCAAGAAAGGTCATAAAATGGGGCAAAACTCACTTAGCAAATTTCTCACTAAGCAACATAAATTTTGGCCTCAATTGTGATTGTAAGTTGAGGACTACCTGTACAGACTCTCTGTTAGTATTTTTTTTCCTAGTGTCTTTTCAACAATTTTCAATCCAGGCTCTTATCGCTTTGCATTATCAGCACCATTTGAAGTTAACCAAGCAATAAGAACAGATTCAGCCATAAGAGCAGATTCACACTCAGATACTTCAGAAATGGAATCCTAAACTCAGATGCAGCACTTAGAAATTTAATCCCTGCGGCCCAGGGAGATGCACCAATGGGAATCACCAGATGGTGTTGTAGTGTATGTAGAATTAACTTTTCTGGATAGCCTCAGAAAAAAACCTAGCATCATTCAGAGACAAGAGACAGCAAACAACATTCTCCCATAATTTGAGGGACTTGCTTTCCCCTCCCACTAGCAGGGAGTTGTTGAGTCTCCTGCTGTACCGACATGATCCATTCTGCTCTGCCTCTTTAGGTGGGAGAAAATTTCCAGGATTCCGGGGTCCCTAGTTCTCCTTCCTCCCTCGATTCCCAGACCTCATCTGTGTCAGAAAAACCTGGAATCGTGGCATGGGTTAAACAGGCATTAGGATGGCTATGTTATTTATATTCTTTGGTCTGGTAGCCAGGTCGAAATTAAATAAGAGCAAATAAATTAGATTGTCTGTTGCTTTGATCACACCCATCCAGGCATGGCATTTCCTTCGCTGTCAGTTGGTATCATTGCTGCGGTCTTAAGTGATATCAGGCAGGAGACTGAGTGATATCAGACACTATGCCTCCATAGCAACCAGCCCCCACCCTCTTCCATGTTGGATAACAAAGGATAAGGAGTCACAATCAAGACACCCTTTGGTTCAGTGACAAATGAGGACAAACCAGCCTGAAATTCCTTCCATGGCAATGGAGGTGAAGGAGGAAGAGGAGAATGGGGGGAAAAAAGCCAAAATAAGCCTTGTTGAGAGGCAGCACGATAATCCTGGGCAAAGAAAACCCAAACCAAACCCCCCATGTGGTTTTGCCGAGACATGCAATTGTTGGTGATGGCACAATATTGCCAGGGAGAAAAAAAAAATGAAGGCCAGGAAAATAATGCTGCTACCATAGGAGCCAGCAAAATGAAGGGAGCTTAAATTCAGAGGCTCTGATTTAGAGGCCTAGATCTTAGAAGGGCTGTAGTGAAGCCCCGGAGATGTTCCAAATTACTTTGCATTGCCATAGCACCAAAGGGGTGGCTTCCAACACTTCTCCAAAGTGATGGACAGGTAATTATGGTGTCTCCAGGATGAGTGAGGATAAACAGCAAAAGGCACCACTGTTTCGCTGGCACTGAATGGTCTCCCTGGTTAGAACCACCTGGTCTCTTGGGGTGAGGAGTGGGCTTCGCTAGTGACTCACTCCAGAACTCTTCCCTGTGGTTACCCAGTCGACGATGATAAAAGTGAGGCTCATCACCATGAAAATGAAACCAAGGGCAGCAAAACACGCAGCCTGTGGAGGAAGAAAGGCATTCATGAATCAGTATTCCTCGTAATAATCTCTTTTTTCAGTTTTCAGGAGGGAACAAGAGGACCCCTAAGCCCCCAGGAACCCAAACAAAATCTCTAAGAAAACATTCCTTATCCCATCTGTCCAGCAACTTCCCAACCACCTTGGGTTCAACAGCCTTAGCTTCCAAAAATGCCTCTCCATGCCTCCATGCTAATTCTGGGCACAAAACTACCACCTCATCTTGTTGCAGTGATTAAAGATTGAGAAAAACAAAGGAGCCTGGACAGAAACCCACATTCCCGAATAAGCTCCAATCTGCTGGCCTCTTGCACTAAGCCTTTAAGAAAGCCTTTGTCCAATTCTCTAGTAGCCAATAGCCAATACCTGGATTTTGGGTCTTGATCGTAGTGGTTCTTTTTCATTGGGGATAATTCGGATGTAGAAAATGCTAGGAAGGATGAAGATGAGACTGGGGGCTGATGTGGCGCCTGAGAAAAAAATACACAGATGTTGTGAATAACCACCCAGCATTCACAATGCAACAGCTCCCCTCTCAGCCCTAATACCAGATTGGCTCAGATACACCTAATACATATCGTTCCCTAGTTATGGGTTTTGGCGCTATGCAAAAGCAAAATCTCCCCTTTCCCTCTTTCTCCAGGAGAATTTGGGATTTTGGGGGCAAGGAAGACTACCTTGACATTGATTGACAATGGAGAAGAGAAAGCAAAGATCATTCTTCTTCACTTCCCAATTAATCCTTGGAACTTGCAGAAAATAAAAAAAGAAATCATGAATTGAAATGAAATTGAATTGTAAATCAAATAAATTGAATCAGAAATGGAAAAATCTGATGCACAGATCTATTTCTTGGCTGGAAATAAAATAAAGGCGTAGTTAGAACTACAAAAAGCTCAATCATTGTTTTATGTGTGCACAGTTTAAAGGCATGTCTTTTCTGTTGGTTTGAACCAAACAGAGATTCCGCCCTACTGATCCCTTAAAAGCGAGATACTTTTGTTGGTAGCAGATCAGCGCCATCTTGTGGTCTGAATGAATTCTTATTTTACTTCAATATATTCTGTTAGACATTGTTCCCTATTCAATTGATTGCAGTTACTGGATCCCTACTTAATGCTAGGCAAAGACTTCCATAGTCAATGTATGCAAAATTTTCAATATATTCTTTTAAACAAACCATAGTTCAAATGAATGCAATGTGTGAACTTGACTATTACATGTTTCATGTTAGTGAAGAATGAAGAGGCTACCTGTTCCTAGAACTGGGTTGCTGAGAATTGTTCGTTCGGCTCATGAAAATATCCAATACAGTATTGGCAGTAAATCCACTGTTACAGTTCAATCTCACATAGGTAGAAAAGTGTCCTATGCTTACCAATTACTCCAAAAATATCCTTGATGTTTGGCACAAAAATGACAAGGAGGTTGACAATGAAAAGTAGGCAGAAGGCAATGATGACGTGACGGATCCAACTGAAATCTTTCTTGGGGAATAGCAAGTGCTGGATGGCTCTGCGGATCTAGGAGTACAGGGTGGCTTTAGCAAAGAGATTTATGTAGAGAGATACCTGCTTTACATATATAAATAATTGTCGATTTGGAAATTGAAGTATACTATTCGGTTCACACAACATCCTTTTCCCATGATTAACTGAATTTTAGTTTATTCAATTACAGGTAGTTTAGTTAGTTTAGCTTAGACCACAGTTGGGATTGGCAAATCAGTCATTAAGTGAAGTGGTCACTAAATGAAATTGCGACTATACTTATGATCTTACTTCAGCTTTCCTTTGTTTTACAGACCTGAGGTCATAAATGTGAGGCTTGTTTGCAAAGTTACTTTTTCATTCTGTTGTAATTACAAACAGTTGTTGTACATGGCAGTCACTAAGCAAGGACTATTAATTTTCTGGGCTGGACCACAAATCAGATACCTTCAGTTCATAGGCTAGGCTACTATTTGGTGGTTTACTATTTGGTGGTGCAGTTTGTTATCTCAAAACATTCCTGGTTAACCGCTTTCCTAAACTTATGGCACTTCAGAGGAAGCATAGTTAACTTGAAAACTATGTAAAGTTTCATTACTTCTTCTCCATTCACGTTTCTTATTGCAGATAACAAAATTTAGCCTATCTTGCAGACCTATCATTATGAAAATACTCTACACGAAGCTGCTTGTATCATTCTAATAAACTACAATGGTTGTTTGCATTTTATTATTAGCCTTTCTGCCTTTTGGCTGTTTATGTCTCAGGGTAAGAATTAAGGCCCTTGATTACAATGAGCTTACAATGCAGAAATAGAATGGGAAAAGAAAGCAGGAGAAAACATGGCAAGAATATTTGTAAGTATTGTGCTCCACAAATTTAGACACAATAAAAATTATATAGACCCATTCCCATTATGAGTGGCTTAAATTTGTCAATTCCAAATTTGACACTCGAGTTGAAGAGCAGAAAAGAGAGCAATCACACAGAGCTCGCTGACCTGGGATTAAGGAGGCGTGGTGATAAACTACTATAAAATACAATGGGAGAGAAAGATCTTACCGGGAACAGAACCACTGGCACAGTGAGGGTCACAGCTAGGAGTACAGCCAATCGCACAGAAAGTATAAGCTTGTCTAGAGGGTCAACTTTGATGTAGGTATGCAACATCTCTGCTTCAACATTCCCTGGCAAAAACAGAAGGAAGGCATTTAGATATAAGAAAGAAGGAGGCTGTAGAATAGGTGTGGAATACTTGTGGCTCAGAGCTACAGGTGTTCCCTTAATTTCCTTTGGAGGGGTGTCTATGGAATCCCCTTTGGATCAGGTTACTGAAAGTTCATTCTCCCATTCTTTTGAGACGAGGAACAGAACAAAATTTTCATGCAAACCCTGAAGTATGTAGTCACAGCTCAACAAATAAACAGAGAAAGAAACTCTCCAAACTCAGTCTTGCTGACATATGAGATGCAACCCCAATCCCTTTGTGGCCCTCTGCCCCAGCCTCAATATTACTTATGACCCTTGACCATTAAAAGGCCGCTCCTCTTTTGCTGTAAGATTTTGGGGGGAAAAAGGAACAAAACTCCCAGGTCTTTAACTCTCCTGTAATTTTTATATACAGTAGTGGCCAAAATTGTGGAAACCTTTTGAGAAAAGTGTATTTTCTAAAACTAGCTAATAACACCACTTTTTTTTGGAGTAGTACCATAAAATTATGTATCAATGGAAAGATAATTTAATCAAGAATGTAATACAGTAACTTTTATGAAGGATTTGCTATTAGAATAGCAGTTACAGTATAAAGAAGAAAAGTGAAACACGTAGAAAAAAATGAGATACAAAAATTATCACCATGTCAGTTAATACTTAGTTGAGTAACCTTTAGCATGAATTACAGCTTTACAATGTCTTCCCATGGAGTGAACCAAGTCTTTTAGTTCTGCAGGTGTTATAATGTGAAGCCAAGATTGAATGATTGCTTCTATTAACTGGGTTTTATTGCTAGGTCGCTTCTGACTAACAAGTTTCTTTAGTCGGCTCCATAGATTTTCAATTGGGTTAGGTCTGGGCTATTCCCAGGCCATTCCAGCAGTGGAATATAATTATCTTGAAACTCCCAAAAAAAGTAGTGTTATTAGCCATCAAATCTCAAAAATACACTTTTCCCAAAATGTTTCCACAATTTTGGCCACTACTGTGTAACCCTGGGATTTAAGAGAATATTTTCAGACACTAGCACTTCCAGATGAGGCTCTGGAATCATGGGATCTTTACAAGCATTGTAAACAAACACAACTTCCACTGTAGCTTTTGCATATTCTGCCCTTCTCTGATCTTTTACTTCTTCATTAAGTAAAGCAACTTCTTCATGTAGTTGCTACCCTCTGCAAATCAATGCTAGCTTGGCCTGTTTCAGGGGTTCCACTGTATTAAAAAGATATTGATAAAATGTATAAATGGTTTAGAATTTCAATTGCCTTAATATATGGTAACTGTATATGGGTTTCCCCCTACTTGTTCTTCACCTATGCTTAAAAATGTGTTTAAAATCCAAATGTCCTGTTTTAATTTGATGTTCTTTGTTATATTAATTCCCCAGAGACAAAGTGTTTGAAATGTAAATGTTCTTGGTACAAGTTTTAAAAACACAACTACTGCTCTTGTTACACAAGGTTCAGAAAGGTGTATTTTTAGTTGGAGAATGAAAGGCACCAGACACTTCACTGAATACTCATGAACGTCTCACTGCAAAGTCTGTGAGATATGGATGTGAGTGATCTGCAGTATCTTTCCTTTCCTCTTTTAAAAGGACTATGTATTTTTAATTGGTAATGTGAAGAACGGTTCAAATAGAAACATCCTCAAGAAACAAATTCAGTCTGTGTGCTGCCTTTTTAGTCCAAAGATGGAACTACATGGAGAACAATCAGAACAAGAAATGTCTTAGAAATCAGCTGGAAGCAGGTCATGTTGCCATTGGATCTGACAGTTATGATATATACACATTCTTAAGAGGGTATTTTTATCCTATTGCTTGCATGTTAAAAAAATCCCCATGGCATATGTACTCCTTTTATTTCAGCTTTTGCACAGAAAAAGAAGATGCCAAGGGAGGAAGCATAACATACAAAAATACTAAGAGCCTTAGTGGTGCAGCAGGCTAAGTGCTGTTATGTAGCACTTAGCTGCCAGCTGCCTGCAATTAATGCGAGTTCAAATCTCACCAGGCTCAAGGTTGACTCAGCCTTCCATCCTTCCGAGGTAGGTAAATTGAGGACCCGGATTGTGGGGGCAATAAGCTGACTTTGTAGAAACACCGCTTATGGGGGGGCCAAAAGCCCTAATAAGCAGGTATATACAAAAGAACGAAGGCTATTGCTATAAGTGCATTGTAAGCCGCCCTGAGTCTTCGGAGGAGGGCGGCATATAAATTGAACTAATAAATAAATAAATAAATAAATAAATAAATAAATAAATAAATAAATATTTTCTTACTTTTCGTAGGTTTTATGTGTGTTTTTCTTTTAACCAGGTTTTTCCTACGTAACCAAGATTTTTCTACAGCCCTAGCTCAGTGGAGTCACATCCACTCGATTCTGGGCTTTTTTCTTCTGGCAGCCAGCAGGCCCTATGCTGCCCTATGCTGCCTAGTGAGAGACTTAAATAGCTTACTGATGATGGCTAACGAGCCAGAAATAGATCTATATAAGTCTCTCACTAGGCAGCATAGGGCCTGCTGGCTGCCAGAAGAAAAAAGCCCAGAATCGAGTGGATGTGACTTCACTGAGCTAGGGCTGTAGAAAAAATCTTGGTTACGTAGGAAAAACCTGGCTAAAAGAAAAACATATATATATAGCTTATCCAATATAAAAAGAAGTATTTCACATCTCTACAGAAGTGTGACTTCTGAAAATAGGCTTCTGAAATGTTCCTCTCCTTTCCAAATATGTTCCTATTGGGGAAGGGTAGTCCATTAGAGGTAGCTGTTCTGAAATACCCGACTCAACCAATGCAAATGGGAATTCATTTCTTCTCTCAAATGTCATGAGAAAGAGCTCTGTGAAGCCAGCTGAGAAATCTCTTCCATCCCTGGAGAGGGAAGAAGATCCATTTACGACATTTTTGCTTCTTAAAGAAAGTTGAAGGGTATAGGTCAGTGATGGCTAACCTTTTTGCCGTCGCGTGCCAAAAGCAGGGGGAGCGGGGGGGGGGGGTCGCGTGTGTGCGTGCCCACACCCATAATTCAATGCCCTCCGCGCTCCCCTCGCTTTTAGCACGTGACGGCAAAAAAGTTATCGGTGGGCCCGGCAGGCCCGTTTTTCGCCCTCCCCAAGCTCCAGAGTCTTTCTTGGAGCCTGGGGAGGGTGAAAACGGCCTTCCCCACCCATCCCAGAGGCCCTCTGGAGGCCGGAAACGGCCCATTTCCCGACTTCCAGTGGGCCCAGAAGGCCCAAAAATCAGCTGGCCAGCCATGCATGTGCACTGGAGCTGAGCTAGGCAACGCTCGCGTGCCCACAGATATGGCTCCATGTGCCACCTGTGGCACGCATGCCATAGGTTTGCCATCACGAGTATAGGTAGTAGATATTTTTTCCTTCCATGATTTTCATGGAAAATTTAAAAAATCCTCTCAGTTCTATTATATGTTTTAATCAGAGAAAATATTAGTTATTTTTATTTATTTATTTTATTTATTTATTTATTATATTTATATTTATAAATATAAAATAAAATAAATAAATAGTTATTTTTAATTGCTTTATGCTTATACTTTGTCTCTTTTATTTCCAGTCTGTCTTCTGCATATATAAATGGAAGGACTACAATCAAAGACAACATGTAACAATTAAGCATCATACCTCTTGTAGCTATGGAGGTCAATCAAAGAGGGAAATTCTTCCTTTCCTGTGTATGAAAGAGAATTAAGTGGCACCCCCAATAGTACCTCCTGAGAGGAACTGTCCCTTACCATAAAAGGTGAGGTAACCAAAGATAGCTGTCAGCAGATACATGGAAAACATGGCCAGGATGGAGACATTGGCTACAGTCTGCATTCGACGCTTTGAAGCCCTAAGCAAGACACAAATTTCAGACCTCATTAAAACTTAATTAGGTCTCCAGTTCCTTCACAGAATGGATGAGTGAGTTGGTAGACCAAATCAGAAGTTTGAGCTTCTAATCTTTGCTGCTGAAACCTACCAAGTCCTCAAGTGTTCTCCCATGAGGGCCTCCTTCCAAAGAGAGGCCTTGAGGGAACCTAAAGGGCCATGCTACATGTTTCTACTCCATTCCATAACCCCAGATCTGCATTCTACCTGGTACTATATCGAAATCCAGAAATCCAAATTATTATTCCAGAATCAAGGGTGGTTTACCAAACTGCTAGCCAGAGGCTTTATTTTCTGCAGGGAACAACGCATCTTCAGCTTCTTGTAAGCAAGTCCTTCATCTTCTCCTCAGTGCCTGCTAGACTTGCCCTCCACATCAGTGTTTCAGTGAACAAAACACACAATCTACAGTCCCATTAACAATCCCTCTGCTTGTTCTTGGAATTCAGCCAGGGAGGAAAGGGGGGTCCAAATGACAGTGTTCAATAGCTGCTGGCCATCTAGGCTTTGCCATGCTTTCTTTTCTTTTTCCATTTATAAAATAAAACACCCACAAAGCAGGAAAAATGAACTAGTTGTCTTTGGACTGATAGCACTTAAGACTTCACTGTTTGGAAATCCCCCAACAGTTATTTCAGGTTATGTACATTTACCTTGAAAGAACAGGGGGGAATAACCTCCATTTTATTACCCTTTCTATCACCAGTGCATACTTTGCTGGCCTATTTCTGATCTGCATTTCACAATCTTGAGCTTGGTCCATCTGGCCACAACTCTGGATTTTTGAGGTCCTGCTGCATCTCTCAGCAACAAACTACATGTGAGGAATGAAGCTGCTGCTTACCTGACAAAGACCACTGTAGTTTTATTTTTATTTTATTTTTTTAGTGCAAGAGACATTTTGGTAGATGTTATACAAAAACACCACATCCTGAACAATTTCGTTTCGTTTTGTCAAATCAGTCGGAGATCGGGGCTATCTTTCTCAGGGAATAATGACACTTCCCCCAAAGTCATGACCACCCATACAATGACTGAAGCAGATGTGTGGGGCTTGCTGTGATGATGTGACATCTGGGTGTGAAAGCATTAGCCCCCAATAACCTCCCAAGTTTAAGAAGATGGATTTTGCTCTCCTGTGTTTCTTCCATTCTATCTTCCTGTTCCCCCACCATAATTGAAAAGGTCCGAAAGAAAAGTATTTCATTTGAGCCTTTTCCAATGTATTATCCTCAAATCTGCTGTAACAATAATTCCCATAATCCCTAACAGATTAGGGACAACAGACATTGTAGATCACAAATCTGAAAGATATAACACTGGAAAACTAGGAATAGTGCAGCTAACCATGTCTGTTTCTTCCCCATCCAGCACTGCCCTTCCCACTTTTCATTGGGAACATGACTAGTGAATCTATGAGTCGTAGTGGTGCAATAGTTAAGAGTGCACTAGTGTAGGCTATTTCTGCTGACTGCTGGTTGCCTATAATTTGGCAGTTCAAATCTAACCAGGCTCAAGGTTGACTTAGCCTTCCATCCTTCTGAGGCGGGTAAACTGAGCATCCAGATTGTTGGGGGAAATATGTGGACTCTGTAAACCGCTTAGAGAGGGCTGTAAAGCACTGTAAAGCGGTATATAAGTCTAAGTCTAAGTGCTATTGCTATTTTTTAACATTTTTTTCTCCACAAAGTTCAAATTATTTTGCATATTGCCCTTCTGCTATTCCACATATTCTTTCAGAAAATTCAGAACCTTTCCATTGATGCTGTCAAGTTTTCTCACCTGCGCAGCTCAGTGTAAATAGGAAGCACTTCTGGATGGCAAACAAAGGCAAATGCCAAGATGGGGATTGCGTACGCAGTCTAGAAAAATAAAAATAAAAACAGTTCAGTTTTTGTTCTAAGCAGAAGGTTTGGAACTCAGAATTTCTAGATTGCTCTTTCTTGTACATATTTATTTTATTTATTATTTATTTATATGTCAGGTTTATATGCTGCCCTTCTCCTGTAGGACTCGGGGCGGCTCACAACAATAAAATAACCCGACAATAGATAAAAATTAAATAATATTAAAACCAATTAAAATCCCCAAATCCCCAAATTAAAATCCACAGCAGATCAGGGAAGTTGCTGAAAGAGCCAAGTCTTTAGGTCAGCGCGGAGTCTGGCCGAGGGGACCCGGAAGAGGGCAGCCCTATGTGAGCACACTGGGCGGTGGGAGGCCGGTAGATGGTGATCCTGCAAATACCCCGGGCCCATGCCATGAAGGGCTTTATAGGTCAGTACCACCACCTTGAAGCGGATCCGGAGGACCACCAGCAACCAGTACAGCTCGGGCAATAGTGGTGTTATATGGGAGTAGCGGGACGCACCCGTAACTACTCACGCGGCCGCATTCTGGACCAGTTGGTGCCTCCGGGTGCACCCCAAGGGCAGCCCCATGTAGAGGGCATTGCAGTAATGCAACCGAGAGATAATGAGAGCATGAGTGACCGTATGGAGGGTGTCCCTGTCTAGAAAAGGGTGTAACTGGTGCACCAGGCGAACCTGTGCAAATGCCCCCCTTGTCACGGCTGTTAGATGGTCCACTAAAGACAGCCGTGAATTGAGGAGGACGCCAAGATTACGAACCCTTTCCGAGGAAGCAAGACACATAAAACACACATATATTGGTTATGAGTAAATACAGAGCAGTAGAACTATTTTACTGAAAATCTTATTAGTAAAATTAGAAAGCAGGGTTTGTTTTTATAAATGTATATTGTAATTTTGAATTATTAATAAATTACAGTATATATTTTTACAGGAAAAATGGGAACAAGAAAATTCTATCCTATCAATTGTTTTTTCTACCTCTATCAACTTCAGTTTCTTCCTGATTTGTTATATAAGTACACAACCTGCTACATGCACCCCTGAAAAATCTGGGTATAACCTAAAGAGCTTCCTCAAAAGTTACCAAAGAATTTTATACTTGCAGAATATTGTTCCCCTTCTCAAAGAAAATCTGTAATATGGGTACAATTACTAGGAATAATGTGGGAATCCTATTGCCTGCCTCACCCCTCCAATCCCAGTGACTTTAGTACTAGATGTACTTCAATAAAAGAAAGGGGGGAAAGCAATGTGCTATAGAGATTAAGATGCTGGACTAAATCCATAGAGATTGAGCTTCAAGTACCTTCCGGCACAAAACTTACTATGTGATTAGAACATGGTAGCAGACAAAAGTCCATTAATTCACTTGCACCAGCAGATTCTGTAGGCCTCATATAGCCAAATTGCATTTCCCTGTTCTACCATGACTCTTAACGTGTTCAATTTCACTAGATTCATATACTTTCATACTAACCTGAGAATTGAGAGGAAAGACTTCAGCACTACAGGTATCATGACTGGACTCCATGGTGCAATTGACCACCATAGTATCATTGAAAGGACAAGGGATCTGGAATTTCTTGTAAATTACCTTTGTGGTAGGAATGGAAAATGGATAGTGAGCATCAGGAAAGAGTGAATGAGAGATAAAACAGCAAAAAAAAAAAAAAAAAAGGCAGCAACTGTACACCTTTTCCAAGCTGTGCCTTTTCCAAAGCACCAGAAGGCAAGACAAGAAACAATGGATGGAAACTAATCAAGGAGAGAAGCAATCTGGAATTAAGGAGAAAGTTCTTAACACTGAGGACAATTAAACAGTGGAACAGCTTGCCTTCAGAAGTTGTAGCTTCATCACTGGAGGTTTTTAAGAAAAGCCTAGGCAGCCACTTCTCTGAAATGGTATAGAGTCTCCTGCTTGAGTAGGGGGTTGGACTAGAAGACCTCCAAGGTCCTTTCCAGCTCTATTCTGATTGAAAACCTCTTAAAGAATTGTGGCACATATTTCCTATTTAAATCTGGCACCTTTTCTTTCTGGGAGAAGCCAGAGTTTCTGGGAATTATGTAACTCACCGAGATGAGAAAGAAACACATACAGGTGAGTGAGAGTCCACTGGTGTAACCAAGATAACCTGTGGAGAAAAAGGAAGGGAACAAAGGAATTGCATCAATTTTATATACAGGATCTTGATAAAAAGCCTCTCAAAAGATTTTACAGCAAAGAGAACTAAATATGGAAAAGAAAGCCATCATTAGATATATCTGCTCTTAAAATAATATGACTTGGACAGCGTCCTTGGTTCTAAATTGATGCAATGCCCTTCTCAAATTCAACATCTATATTATAGGGAAAATTTGGGAGAAAGTGCAGAGTTCAGCCTGGGAGGATGTTTAACAATTGCAAGCAGCAAATTCCAATGTAGAAAACAGAAATAACAAAGCAACCAGAAAAAAATGCACTTTTTTATGTTTATCAAATTGATATATTGGGCTTTGTTCAATTTACATTTATTTATTACATAAACTGCATAATTGTTGATTGGGTATGGAAGGATTGATTTAATTTTGAATATTAAGTTTACAACATGGGTGATCAACTAAATTCAAACTGGACCAATTCAATGCCATTGTATTGGATTACTACATTTAGTGAGAGATTGGATTAGAGGCTCTTCCCAGAACGTTTTTAACCCTTATATTCCATGATTGTATTAATTTATTTAATCAGATGATAAAAATGCAAGTATACCCAGGCAGGTGAAAATCTTCTGTCAGCTCTGATGAATTGAATTAATTTAGATGTATCAGATTTGAGCTCACAGTTTAAATTCCATCAAAAATCCAATTTGGAAACTCAATGCAATTGAATTTAGCAATGCACATACTGGGGAAAAAAACCACTATGGAATATTGCTTTTCTGCTAATATTCTTCTGTGGTCTAAATAATTCTCTGCAACAATAGATTGCAAGATCAATGTCAACAGAAGATCTTCATAGGAAGCAATGCTGATTTCCTCCAGTTGGGGGTAGGAATGTTGTATATGCCTCAATTCATAGACTGAAATGACACAATCTTGCCTTGAACTCTAAAGTAGAAATCCAGCAGTGACGCAAAAAAGTACATACACATGATCAGGCAATATTTATCCAAGCACGCACAAGCAGAACACAGGACAAACACTTTCTGTCACTTACCTAAATGTTTCATCAGAGCCAAGGGCAGGATGACACTAATGCTGACGACAACTATTAAAATTTGCCCGTTCATGTACCATTCGCTGAAAATAAAGCACCACAGTTGGATGAATCCATGAACGTTATAGTTACCTCGCTCTTCTTTCTCCCTCACACATACAGAGATAGTGAACAGTAGCAAAAAAAAGAAGAAGAAGAAGAAGAGCTTGTGTGTTGACAGACAGACAGACTGATTGACTGACTCTTGGCAGGTGCCATCTTTTTTCATCCTTTTATCTTTTAAAAAAATCCTTTTTAATATGGACTGAAAAGCATGGAGTACACTTTTGCATCTGGATATTTGACATTTTTCTTCCCAAATTTAAATCTGTATTTATTTTAGTTAGCATATATAACTAGCCAAATGCTACCTGCCCTATTTTTTAAAAAAAATCCTCAAAAATGAACTCTACAGATGCTGTACTTTGTACATGGAAAAGAACTGTGTCCCTATTAAGGCAAGACGTAGGTGTCAGCCCCACTAGGTCATTATTACCAATAACAACAACTGACAGTCGTCCAGAGGAATCAAGGATAGAGGATTCACTAATAAGAGAGTATTTTTCTTTTCTCTCATCCAACTGTGTCCAATTCTCAAACAGCTTGGGCAAGTCACCGTAGTTTTCTTGGCAAGGTTATTCAGAAGTGTTTGCTATTGTCTCCTTCCTAAGGCTGAGAGAAAGTGACTAGCCCAGTTAGCTTTGTGTCTAAGGCAGGACTAGAATCAGAGTCTCCAGATTTCTAGCCTGTTGCCTTAACCACTACACCAAATTGACTCTACAAGAGTATAAAAGACACCAAAAGGTCATTTTTCCCAGCTTGAATTATCTCCAAATACATGAACTTCAAATCCCAAAATTCTCCAGCCAATGCAGCTGTTGCTAAGAATTTTTACAGCTAACATCCATGCATTTGCAGGGTGCCAAGGTTAGGAAACGCTTGAGAGGAACTGCTGGGGTAGAAATAACACTTATCTACCAATGACCACAATTTGTATCTGTTTACAGTTAGTCCTCATGGGATTGGCCAGAAACTCAGAAGCCATTCAGAAGCATGACAATATGTAAATAAGTGAGCAGTGAATGACCAAAGTGACTTGAGACTTCTCTTGCACTATGTCATTTCTTTTCTGGTTACTTGCAGAGTTTCAGCGGTGCCCAACCAATCTGTTAAGTATTTTATTACAAGGAAACAAACTCTTCTCTGTTCCTGTAGGTAGGCAGATTTCTTCCTCAAACTTTCTTCCATCCTAACCACCCTCTCTTTACTCCAGAGGTCCCCAACCCCAGTGCCATGTCCCACTACCGAGCTGTGGCCCGTTCAGAACTGGCCCGTGGAAGTGGCAGGCGAGCGTGCACACAACTCCACTTGCATGGAGCTCTGTACACACACACGCTCCCCTGCCATTCACGTGTCAACCCTGGGGGGGGGAGGGGAAACTTTTACTTTTAATTAGGTGAAAGCCAAGGGAACTTTTAGAGTCAGCTTTCACCAGTTGTGCCAATATGATGTATCCAATAAATTGCTCTTTGAGGAATATGCCTGCCTCGGAGTTCTCTTTTCTATGGGTGTATAACTTGGAATGCTGATATCGTGGAACCATCCTCTCTCCCGCCTGCCAGTCCGCAAAGCCGGAAAGGTTGGAGACCGCTGCTTTACTCTATAAGCATGCTCATAAATGTTTGATTCATTATTAAAAATAAGTCATTTGAGAATGTTCAAATGTTACAACCACTCACTGTCCTGAATCCATTATAATATCCTAATATGAAAATTGTGATATTCTGCTTGTAATAAAGAAATAATCTGTCATTCATAATGGAACTTTTAATGACAAACATTTATGAGATCAGTTAAAGTAGATTAACATGCTAAGAACTGGGGTGCAATGGTATTGACATAACCTAATTTAAGTTTGAAGGCTACTTTACAGATCTTTTTCTGTTCCATCTTTACCTCAGTCCATATGAAAAACAGGGATTTTTTTTAAAGATATACAAGTAAAGTTGAAATATGGCTTCACTTCCATTTATCTGATTTAAAGCTGAAAAAAATGAGATAGCATCACACAGTTGTATTTTGACATTTATAAATCTACTCTAGAAATTCTGTCCACTTTACTGTCTGTGATAATATGGCAATATTCCAGTTGAACAACTTTTTTTAGTTTAAAATAGTACACACAAAAATGTCATAACTTTTTAATCTTATAGCATCTTGTAACATAGGAATGCTTTTAAATATCTTCCCAATTTTACACAACACATGAACGCATATTGCTTAGTAACATTTTTAAAATAACCCACAAAAAATTCTCACTTCTTTTGTTCTTCGACACATAAATGACCTTAGATACAAGCTTTTTAAATGGATATTCCAACAATAAATCTCCTTTAAATATAGTTGCCCCTAGTGGATTTTAATGCTAACATATGCCTCAAGATGACATCTAATAGCGTTCCACCAGAATTTGTGGTGAAATTCTTTTCCACCCCTAAATGGAAACTCAGGGGACAATTTATGATCCACAAGGGAATAATCTCTGTATCTCCTTCCCCCATCTTGTTTCTGGGGGGGGGGGTTAAGTCCTGCAAGCAACAGAGCATTGTGGCTTGGTCCCAAATTCTCTTGATCAGGGGAGGAATGTGAATAAGGCACCAAGCCCCAGAAGATCCATTTATAGAAGGAAAAATTAGCCAAAAAGACCAGCTGCTTCCTTCCATAATACTATTCAGAAATCCCTTAGAACAGCTCTGAAAAAAAAGGGCTGCCTCAGAGTGAAAGAGGAGGGGGGAAAGAGGCGTGGTCCTCACATACATACTATCTCTAATTTCATTTTAGGTCACAATGACCATAAACTAGTGCCATAAGGGAAGATCATTAAGAGTTCAAGTCCTGAAATAATTGTGGATCTGGTTAGGTTTTATCTGGAGGTCATAAAACTAACTTAACTAGATCAGATAGTAGATCCATTCATCCAATATGCTAAGCTTGATTAGAATTTATCCTGTTTAGGTTTTCTGGTGCCTTAACATATTATGTGAATCCAACCTATTTAGAGAGTTTAGGTTCATTTATTTACTGTGTAAACACAATAAATGGATCAACTCAGTGAACAGGTTAATCATGTTTGGTGAATAATTAAAATGCTGGACATTGTCAAAATCCAGGAAGTTTTCAACTTGAGATCACCCTACGGCTGAAGAATGCCCAAGGGTAGCAGCAATGCCTAATTAAACATTTGACCCTGGAAAATACCAAAACAATAGAAACTACCTGTAGGCTTCTTTGTCATTCTTTTTGCAGGCAAGCATTTAATTTAACCTCCCCTAATATGGATTACAACTTCCACTAGCACTATCTATGTGTTGACTTGAGATGATGTGGATTACACTCCAACAAATAGTGTCAAATATGGGGAAACTGATATAATTCAGCCCTTTCTTTCTTTCTTTCTTTCTTTTTCTTCCTTCCTTTCTCTTCCTTCCTTCCTTCCCTTTTTTCTTTCTTTTTCTTCCTTCCTTTTTTCTTCCTTCCTTCCTTTCTTCCTTCCTTCCTTTTTTCTTCCTTCCTTCCTTCCTCTTTCTTTCTTTCTTTCTTTCTTTCTTTCTTTCTTTCTTTTTCTTCCTTCCTTCCTTCCTTCCTTTCTTTCTTCCCCCCCCCCCCCAATTGAGGAACTGCTGCATGTTCATCTGTTCCGCGCAATTGCAAACAGAATGTGATTAGGAGGAAGAAGAGCAGGGAGTTTTGCTTACCCATTATTTGCTGTCAGCCCTAAGAAGGTTTGGATCACAAGTGGCAGTTCAGATTTAACAATGAACAAGTAACTGGACATAGCTGTGAAAAGAGAAAGCTGTCAGGATCTCCTGAATTTCCTTTTTGGGGAAGAGTGAAAACAGTAAGATGGCATTTGATTTGCCCACCCTTATCCCCAGGCTGAACACTGGATATTGGTCAAAAATCATCATCGCCATCAGTTTGTAGATGTCAAGATCACAATGCCCCAGAGTCCCTTACTCAGCCTTCTTCCTTGAACTTCATACACACACCCCAACTAGCAGCAGCAAATTATGCAAATATACATCACTTTGTTTGCCCTTCAGACCCAACAGGGAAGTGGGAAACCTTACCTCCTATGTTGTGTATTGAGATTATGACACCAGCCACCACTTTGCCCCCATGGCCAAAGGCCTTCAATCCCAGCTGTTCATATGCTCTAATTCCTAAATAGAAAGAAAGGGTTCAGATAAGTTGGTTTGTAATTCTAGGGTGATTAACATTACTGGTCCATTCATCTAAACCACTGTTCAAAATTATGCTCCTTTTATTAGCAGTCAACACACTCGCCAATCCAGTTCCAATAGGAATTGACACATTCCTCAACATATTGAGTTTTAAAAAAGCATGCAGCTCCTTGGCAATAATGATGGCCTAAGGACAAATTGTGCTCTTCAGCCACAATTTGCCTGCGCAACAAAAAGAGCCATCTTTGAATGCCAGCCCAGCTTCCTGAATGTCCCACTGAGTGTCCCAGTGGGTGGGGATGGTCTGGATCTCAGGAGGTAACTGGTTCCAGAGAGCTGGGGCAGCCACAGAGAAGGCCCTCCCCCGCGGGCCCGCCAGCCAGCACTGTTTAGCTGACGGGACCCGGAGGAGACCAACTCTGTGGGATCTTACCAGTTGCTGGGAGCTATGTGGTAGAAGGCGGTCTCGAAGATAACCTGGCCCTGAGCCATGTAAGGTTTTAAAGGTAATAACCAACACCTTGAATTGTGACCGGAGACCAATAGGGAGCCAGTGCAGCTCGCGGAGAATTGGTGTAATGTGGGTGTATCTAGGTGCACCCACGACAGCTCGTGTGGCTGCGTTCTGGACCAACTGTAGTCTCCGAACACTTTTCAAGGGTAGCCCCATGTAGAGCACGTTGCAATAATCTAACCGTGAGGTGACAAGGGAATGAGTGACTGTGAGGAGAGCCTCCTGATCCAAGTAGGGTCGCAATTGGTGCACCAGGCGAACCTGTGCAAAGGTCCCCCTAGCCACAGCTGACAGATGTTGCTCTAATCTTAGCTGTGAGTCTAGGAGAACACCCAAATTGCGAGCCCGTTCTGAGAGGGACAATTTCTCCCCCCCCCCAAGAACCAAGGATGGACAATCAACATAGTCTTTAGGAGGCAATACCCACAGCCACTCGGTCTTGTCTGGGTTAAGTCTGAGCCTGTTTCAAGGCATCTACAGCCTGCACTAATTCTTGTTAGGCCACAGTCCTTGGAGAACAAGACTTTAATGATCCAAACTAATAGGTGGTGTGGATTCTAAGAACAGCAAAAACTTCTGAACACCACTCTGAAATCCCTTAATAGAATGCACCCCTGCATTCTATTAGTTCTATTTCTACCCCTAATGAGCAGTATGGCTAAGGTCAGTGTCTTACTCTGTGGCCCATAACAAATACTATGGAGTCTCCTGGACTGTGACTTACCAACAACTCCAGCACACTTCAGCAGCAGATGAATGGAATAGGAGGAGAGCAATGCAATGCAGATCAAAAGGATCCTGGAAGAAGGACAACAATGAATGTCAGCCCAATCAATGCTTCTTTCACAGAAATGGACCAACTCTGGAATGCCTCTTCTATGGAGACAAAGAGAACTCTTTCCAATCCTAATCTGGACTGTGAGTTCTAGTCCAACCCTGCTTGAATTCACGAATTCCATCCAATCCCTGCTTGGGAATTAGTTCTTACAATCCATCCAGCAGCAGACCCACAGGTGGAAACGGTGGCTGAATTTCTACTTGCTTCCTCCCCCTTGGATTGTGGATTTTTTCCTGGGTACCATGCTGTGGGAGTTACACTCACACAAAGAGGGTGATTCCCGTATTCCTCATGGCATAGGCCAGGCCCAGGATGCCACTCCCCATGATGGCGTTGCTCAGATTAAAGACTGACATCCCAAACGAAGTCTTTCCCTCAAACTGCAGCCAAGATTTAAGAAAAAAAACAAAAACCAAATTTCAGAAATCGGGTGGAAAAAAGCCTTTGGGCCATATGGAAAACAAAGCACTAATCCTAATAGAAGTATAATACATGAGGATGAAGGGGGGGAATGATACCAACCATTAAATATCCAAGGGTCACCCAGAAAAGAAAGTTGAAGTGGCAGAACATTTGGCCTGCATGAGTGTCCTATAAAGTTACCAATTATTATATGTACAGTGACGCAACATATTGCATTATACCAGTCTGAGTCGTACAAATTTATACTTTATGTCATATATTTTTGGAAGTCTGCATTTGACTCAAGTATGTGGGAACATATCAGAATGAAGACTTCTAAGACACAACAAAAGATGGTTCTCAAAAGAAGAGATGATTCAGTATGAACAGACGGAAGCAATGACAGTCAAATTAAAAAGAACCAGGAGATAACAGAAGTCTATAAAGGTGGGGCTGGTTAAGCCTTGTTGGAAATTTTAAATATATGTGGCCATGATATAGATAGATAATAAAACATAATGAGGTAATACTTCTAAAATACCTACATGATATAATATACATACTAACAAGAAGAAACATCACATATCATGGGCAACATCCAGTAGAAGTCTGAGATATTCTGGGAACCATATCCTATGTCTCAATGCAACAGTTGTGCAATGATATTCCCCCTCCCCGGTATAAAAATAAATAAATGACATTTGTACAAGGAAAATTCTTCAATCCTGTTTCATTAGGTCATGCTGGATTGGTAGACATTTGCAAACTGCATTAAGAAATAGCTGAGACTATTATTATTAAAATTAAAAATGGTTAATTCTAAAAAAAAAAGAAATAGCTGAGATATTTGAATTTTACTTTCAAGGATAAGTAGAGGAATGGGAATAAACAGAAGCTGATTGCTTTCATGATGGAAGTAATGTCATGCCGTCCTACTGCAAGTTCTGCCCTTTTGTACAGCATGTGCATGCAACATCATGTTGCGCATATAAAAGATGGGTCCTTGGTGTTTGCTGAGCTCATCAGTGCTAGTACTAGCACAATGCTTGACTAGCACTGATGATATTACCTAGTTTGAGTAATGTAACGTCTACAAGAAAACAACCAAGCTCAGAGAGCACCAAGGACTGAGCTACAATTATTCTCCTTTATTAGTACATATAAAAGAGTTAAGCCTTCTGTCACAACTCTGCACAGCTGAATTGGGAGATATCTGACTGACATTATCACCTACATCAGTGAATTGGCTGAATTTCTTGCTGGCAGCATTAGGCAAGAAGCCATCTTGTTCTGCTGAAATACGTTCCTCTTCCTCATACCTGAAATGGAAGGAGAAGTAGAAAAGGTCAGCGGAGATCTATACCAGAACTGCATCTGTTTAGCATCACAGATCAATGGCTCAAGCTAAATATTATACAGGTCGTGCTGTGTGCTAATTAAAGTGTCTGAATCTTTAGACAAGATGGAAAGGAATGAAAAGAGAGGAAACAAAATAGATGAAACCATCATGTGTTATTGTACTTAGCATAAGTATTGAACTATTAATGTGATTTACATATTGTCTGGTTGTTCTAATAAAATGTGTTGATTTAAAAATATATAGATTTGGCAATCTTGACTGTCTTGCCAAATTCTGATGTAACTATACAATGAAGCCAGTGCATTAATATTAATGAATTAAATTACTAAGTTTTGCCTTTGCTTCAAATATTTGGAGATAATTACTATGTCGGTTGTAACAATTATCCTGAATTGGGAACAGCTAGACCAGCCTTCCCCAATCCGGTGCCCTACAGATCTGTTGGACTAATTCCCAAAATCCCTAACAGCCAATGGCGTGAGACAGAAAGCATAGTAAAGGAGCCAAGATGGCGCAGTGGTTAGAGTGCAGTACTGCAGCTACTTCAACTGACTGCTAGTTCAGCAGATCAGCGGATCAAATCTCACCGGCTCAAGGTTGACTCAGCCTTCCATCCTTCCGAGGTGGGTAAAATGAGGACCCAGATTGTTGGGGGCAATATGCTATTTAGTATACTGTCTTTGGTGTAAGCCGCCCAGAGTCCTCAGAGAGTGGGCGGCATAGAAATATGACTAATAAAATAAAATAAATAAAATAATCCCAAACCTCTTGGTGACAAAGGCTTTCTTACTATTGTTTAATGGCTAGATAGGTGTGTCTGAGTGTGAAGGGAAAAGAAACCAACATTCTCACTCATTCTGACTTACATTATGCCAGATTGGGCAGTCAAAGTTTGGAGCCTAAACTGAACTGCCATTCATACAAGGAAATGTCTACCCAAGCCCTCTATAGCCTCTGATATCACCCAGCGTCGTGAGAAGCAGATTTTAAGAAACCACAGAAGGCTGCTGTGAGAATGGACTTGCAGCAAATCCATTTTTTCCAACATGGTTTAATGTACAGAGGGGATATACCGTAGAATATGAACTATTCAATGAAGCCTCCAGTATGTTCTGTATCAGCCAAGGCTGTGTCATCCCAGCAGTAAGCTTCCACTCTCTGCTCTGCCTCTTGAGGAAGTCCCAATAGATGAGATAAAAGGTCTATGCAATTCTACAATTAACTTCCACAGAGTAGACTTGCTTCTTCTCAAATGGAGACTCTGCTTAGCCATCACAGCTACTGTAGTTTATGAACCTACTTCTAAACAGATGGCAGCTATTCATCATCACCAAGTCTCACAGCAGCATACATTTCCAACATAAGAGAATATACAGTATGCAGCTCAGGAGTGGGCATCCTTGGTGCTCTCTGTCCTTGGCCATTTGCTTGCACATACAGTATTTCATTACCCAGCTAAGTAACGTCATCAGTGCTAGTTAGTTAACTCCCTGTTTATGTAAAGTAGCTTGCCTTGTCAGTGTTGGTTGAAGTGTGGTCTTCTTCTTGATAGTCCCTTGATTAGGGTATCATTTTCTGCTTGATTGTACCTGGTATTAATACTGCATATCTGGATGTTGGATGCTAGAGAGGATGTGTTCTGGGTTTTTTTGTTTCTGGTCCTATGTTCTGATTTTGTTGGGCTTTGTTTTTTTAATGACATTTCCATATATCAAACCTGAGATCAGGCTCTGTATGGTTACTTACACTTGCCATTTAGTGGTCCAGTGCCAAATCTGGAGCATGAAAAATAGTTTTTCAAATGTATACCTGCCATTAATTTCTGGACCTAATAAACAACTGGAAATTTGGTACCCTTGCTAATGAAGGCACCTCTTGATTATGCAAAATGGTGCTCCCTGAAGCCAGTGCAAAGAAAGAACACGTGAGAGTGCCTGATCAAGCTAATGACCTCTAATAGTATTTCTATTATCATCTGGGTAGTTCTGGGTAGTTTCATTGAAAATAAAAAATAGAAAAAAAGTCCTGAATTGGAAGCTTGACAGAACATGCAACTAAGAAATGTGTTTGTTTGTTTGCTTGCTTGCTTGCTTGTTTGCTGCTGGCAGAGTAGTTTCTAAAGCTTTAGAGGACAGACTGGTGATCTGCATATTAATTTTACCATTAGAAGTAGTTACTTCTCAATCTGCATCTTTCTATACTACCTCCAGGGCTTTTTATGTTACAGAAATATTTTTCCCCATGTGGGGGAACTACTCTGATGTCTCTTTGCCTAACCTGAATTCCTGCTTTTCTGGCTTTGATTCTGCCTGCTCAGTTAATTTTCATCTTTCTCATATGCTGCCCAATTCTGCATGCCCAACCTTCTTCATAACTTCCAACCTAAGAATAAATTCTCAATTTCCCCCTCTTTCTTCTGTTCCATTTCTATACCTACTTGTATTTGTTTTGAAGGCTGCATGAAAGTATATATACAATTATTATGCAAATTTCTCCTAAAATTCACAATTTAAATAAATGTTTCTAATATATACAATAGATATAAATTCCACAAGTATTAGGTTTATTAATTATAATTAATATTTTTTGTTGTTTCTTGTTGTTCCCCTTTCACATGCAAACTGCTCATCTTTCCTTGCAATAATCTTTGCCTTTTGTGCTGTATTTCTAAGCCATGACCCTCTTCTGCACTGTGCAGATACTGCAGGAATATAAATGCATGCTTCAGTTGGCAAAACTTGCAAAGTTGTAAATTCGGTTCATTTTCTTTAAACAACCACTCGTTCGGCAACTAGTTATGAAGGCACTGATTGAGGTTCTCGTTGCTGCAGCTGTTGCAGTGTCCCCAAAGTCATGTGATCGCAGTTTGGACACTTGGCAGCCAGCTCACAATTATGTCACAGCATCCCATGGTTAATTGTCAGCTTCACAGCTGGCTTCTGAAAAGCAAAGTCAAGGGGGAAGCCAACCAGAGGTCACAGACAGTGATCATCTGTCTGTGGAAGACCGCACCCAGCAACTGGGACTGCCACAATTGCCACTGTAAATTGGCACAGTGACGTGATGCTGCATTTTATGACCCCATCACTTAGCAATGGAACTGCCAGGCCCAATCACCATAGTGAAGCGAGGACTCCCTGTACGTATATTTACTGCATTAATATCTCACCTTTTCACTGGGAGCTCAATGCAGTATACATACAGAGTCTCCCCCTTATTTTATCCCTGAGTGTGAGGTAGGCAGGGTGTCAGAGTTTGTTGCAGCCCACACAATCAGACACAATTAAATGAACTTCAGCAGGATTCAAATTACATAAGAAACTTCTTTATATACAATACCATACACAATTCAGCATACAATATCAGGAACTCAGAAGCAACTCATTACAGAGTAGAGAGATACAGAGGCTAATATATTGTACAGAGGCTCCATTACAGAGGCCAAACCAACTCTTATATACACTTCAGCAAGTCTAAGCCACACCCAGACTCCAAACTGTCTCTTATGACCCCATAGAAACAAATACTATGTTTCAGTTTCTAAACAGTCCCCATTGGCTGACCTCTTATCACGTCTATCCAAATAGTTCCCATTGGCTGATCTAATCCAGTTTATGAATATTCATACTCTGACACAGGGCTGAGAGAATATGATTGGTCTGAAGTCAGAGGGTCAGTTTCACAGTCAAGCGGGAACTAGGTCTCCTGGTCCCAGTCTAACATCTTAACTGTTACGCCGTAGAAAGGTGTATTCCCAAACAATTATTCTGTCATTCCTACCAAAGACTCACCCATCCTCCAGGACAGCTGCTTTGTCACTGTCAGGTATGGTACCGTTGAATCTTTCAGTGCCATTCTCGCTTCCCATTTTTTGCAGTTCCATCTTCGCAGTCAGTGGGGCGTTTGCACACGGATATGGGTAACGTCTTCAGCAAACTGCCAGCAGCAGCAACAGCAATACACTTGGTTCAGCAGGACACCTGAGGACATGGAGAAAACTTCAACAAGCAGCACTCAATAATACTGGAGGGTGGGGAGGGGGAAAGAGGGGCTGGAATTAGGTAGTACTGAGAATCCAAATATTCTACTCCCAGCTGCAGGAAGGGTGTGGATGAGGGGGGGGGGAGGGAGGCACTGCCAGAATAGTTTTGCCACTCTAATGAAAAAGCACGCCAAGAAACATACAGTGATTCCAACCCCATGCCTGGGGGAGAGTCTGTCCTGACAGAGGGTAGGTAAGGAAGGATGTTAGCCTGTTCCCTCTCCCATCCACACCTTTAAGCATGAGTTGGCAGGCTGCTTCCCTAAGAATTTTCACACATCTGCATGCTACTGCCAAGAAACATGTCACGTACTCATGTACTGGGTGGTGTACCAACTGCTCTATCAGCTCTCCTCCACTAACAATAACCACTTTAGACTAAGGTAAGAAAAAAAGCACTAAAACCCATAGAGGGAAAGCACATAAGCCATTTCTCCACTTTCTCAAAGATTCTGGCTTGAGAGAAGATGTATTTTGATGTAGTTTTGTCTGAGGACTGGGGGAGGGGGGAGAGAAGGAAGGGAAATCTTTCGGGGGGGGGGAGACATAGTAACATGTATAATGAACACAGCAGTTGCATTCATACCACAGATTTACTGAAGTATCATTGACCCAGCCATATCCAGGAAAGAAAGTTCACTCCTAAACTCAGATAAAACAATCCCCAAATTTGCAGAGCTACCTTCTTATTCAGAAATGGTTAGACGTTAAGAGTATTTCATCCATATTCCCTTCGTACCTATTCAAATCCAATTTATTCCTATCTAATATTTCTTAATTTAATTTTATTTATTTTCCTCCCCTTTCCTTCACTGTTTCTAATTCTCTATCCCTACATTCCTCCTTTTCTCTAGCCATTTATAAAATGTATTCCAGGTTACATAGAATTCCGATTCATCTTTATCTTTGAGCTCCATTGTTAACCTGAATATGTATGTAACTGAAGTGTGATTGAATGTACAAAAAGTATATATGGAATATGCATATTATATTGTAATATACACGAAAGAAGAAAGAGCTAGAAAAGTATGTACCGGACAAGTCGCACCAAGTCTAATGTTTTTAAATTGTATATTTAATAAAATTAATTTTTTTTAAAAAGGGTATTTCATCCAGACTCTTCTACCTTTCTCAACCTGGTGCTCTCTGGATATGTTGAGGATACAACGCACACATGTGCTGGACCTCCACCCACACTTTCTGACTTTTAGAGTCACTGCAATTAGGCTTCTGAAAAAGCCAATTGATTCCATTTAAGAGTTTTGATTTAGACTTCATATTTGTTAAAGTTTTTGGAAGGGGGATTTGTTTTGTCTGTGTGTGTGTGTGTGTGTGTGTGTGTGTGTGTGTGTGTCTGTGTCTGTCTGTCTGTCTGTCCGTCTGGTTTTGCCACTAACCACTTCAGCATCATTGTACATTGTTGTCCCACACAATATCTGCAATAGCAATTAACAGTGCTGTCCTGGAGGCAAAAAGAGTTGTTCATTCTGACCATTATATGGTCTGTTGCTCTTTTAAGGCCTTGACCTCAATGAACGGTTTCTGGCATATAATGGGCACTAACTCCTATAGTCAGTGAATGAATGGTTTCTATAGGATAATTTAGGCAGAAGTGGTGGGAATCAAACACATGATGAAAGTTGCAGCCCAAAATTTGATTGGAGGGCAGTAATCTGATGTTGGAATTTAATTCAGGCAGTCTGACCAAAAGCTGACGCAAAAGGGATGCTTGAAGAAGATGGTGAGATTTTAACCTCTAGTTAGGATGCAGAAATGTGAGACTGGCAGATCTGAATAAGCAGGCAGCATACAATAAGTCATTCTCCACCATAAACCTAATTAGCATAAAAGGCGGCATTGTTCCCACCACCACCAGCAGTATGGTTCTTAGATCTCTCAGTTACATTACAAGCTGAAGTCAAGATTTAAAGATTTCACCCCGGAAGAAGAAATAATAAAGAAAATATTGGTCTGCACAGAAATGGACAGACTGACACTAGAACTTAAAAACAAGGGTGAGACAGAATACTTTGAAATATAGAACAAATTGTATCAATGGTTGGAAAGGAGGAAAAGGAGGAGTTGGAGAAGAAAAGATTTAGGATTCGTAGAATAGAAAGTGGATAATACTTAGAGAAAGATATATATGAGGACAAGGGATATGGTTATAAGACCAAAATAGCAATGTATGATAAGTAATAATTATATTCGTTGTTATGTTAAAAATATGTATGGAAGTGACAAAACTGGACGGTCATACCATGTCCAATGTTTATTTAATAAAAAACTTTTTAATAAAAAAAGAGAAAGATTTTACCCAATTCTGAAAATTTTAAAAAAAACCTGTAGTGCATGTCTGCCAGGAAAATTGTACAGAAGCCTAACTGCTAACCCCCTTAAACTGAGGATAGCAACAGGCCTCTCTGCAGTGAAATATTTTGGGGAAAGCCAGTTAGGTTTCTAACCTGCACCACACTATAAATTTAACAAAAGAAAAATCCTGAGGAATTGGGAATGGGGAAGGCAAAATTACTCAGTCCTCGATCAAGCATGTAATGTTAAATGCACGTTTACATTTTCATATTGCTACCCAAACCAGAGGTGTCAGGTGTTTAACTTTCATCCCACTCCACAATAACCCAATTAATCCCTTCCAACTTCCAGCTGCCTGGAAGAGAGCTCCCACCAATGCTAATGGGAATAGTCCCAGGTTCAGAAAATACAGAGAGGCACACCTGCCTCTGGGACCCAGGAACCCAAGGGTTAACTGTGCCAGCTGGGAAAAGCTCTGAGGCTGGGTGGGGCAAAAATGCAAATAGGGATGTCTGATTGGTGCCTTGATCTTTAACCGCATCCTTCCCTTGGAGATATATTCCCACAGAAAACATAGAACAAGAGCTTCTATTCTGGTGGGATGAGTCAATGGGCCCCACCACGCTGGGAGTAATAACTGTGACTGGATTCCTCAGTTCTTCTTTCAGGTTGTGGGAGGTACAAAACAGCAACTGTTGAGAACCCGTGCCCTCTAAATATTGTGAAACTACAGCCATTCCAGCCAACTTGTCCAATGCTGCAACACTGGGAGGGTTGCTGTCCTTACTATGGCATGAAAGGGTGCGAATGCGAAAGCTACATAAAGTTTACAGTCCAGTGGTATGTTCTTTCCAAAACAACGGGTGGCTGATTTGAGGCTCAATGAACTATGTGAAATTAGCCCCTTTGATTAGTTTGTTGTTCAGTATGTTGGGTTAATCATTCATTAACCCAGGCGATGGGTTAACCATGGTTAAGTAACCAAGGGTAATTGTCCTAACACAGCTGACTGGTGTCCCAGCTTTGGGCTGGTGTTTCCATTTGGTCATGTCACTTGTGATTTCAGGTCAGGGGTTCCTAAACTTTCTGCCATCACCCCTCCTTTTAGTGTAATCTTCATGTACACACCTAACCATCCACATACGGAAAAAGAACACAAAGGAGCAATGAAAACAATACAATGACACTATAGGAAAGTTGGATTTATTCTAACAATGTAAAGGTCTTTTACCTCTCCCCTGGATTCTGCCTGCACCTCCCCAAGGGAGGTATACCTCACAGTTTGGGAAATCCTATGCCAAAAACACACCTAGGATGCAAACACAGGAGTTGGAGACTGGGTGAAAGGAAAAGCTGGCCTGATGTGGTTGACTACGAAAATGTATGCAACCCACAAAAACCTGTTCCCAGGACACTCCTAAAGTAAAAGGGGTGGGAAGAAAAGGGGGGAAAAAAACAGGCCGGGAAAGAAAAATCTAGAATTTAATGTTAGCTACAGCTGGGCTTTATGGTATTTCCTTTCTGCAATATGAAATATAACAACTAATCGTCCATCCTTCAGCCACAGAAATGGAACACCAGTGGGCTACTGGTCTGTGGACTTCTTTAATCCTTCCTATTGGTGAACAAGCCACAGCATAAACTATAGTGCTATTTTAATGTTTACTTACATTCAATTGTATTCAGAGTGGCTTCTTCTCAGAGAATTATGTGTAAGATTAAAAATTACATCATTAAGTTTAATAGCATTTTGTACGAGGCTTGCCTTGACCTAAAGTTTTTAAGCGTTTTACCCAGAGTTTTTAATACTGTGATTTATATTAATTGTAGTTAATAATGATGACAATAGCAGATTTATATAATGCACAGAGCTTTAACATGGTTTTGCTCTTGATCAAGGGTTGTCTAAACCCTGTTTGCAACAATAGTATAGTCGGCAAACCTGTGGCTTAGTATGAGTAAATGCAGTCAATCATGTCTTGTTTAATAACCCATAATTAAGCAAACTGTGAGTTCAGATTTTACCGCAAGGGAAATATGTCAGTCCTTTTCTAAGTACTAATGAATTGGATTGAAATTAAATACATCTCTAGCCCATCCACTTAGGACAGATTCGTGGTGCACACAATTGGGCACTCTTAATCAAAAGCCAAACATGACTAGGATGTCATTTCACCACAGCACTGCCACCCCCACAGTCTTCATCCCATTTCGAGGTCTGAAATATAATCTTGATTTGCGAACATTGTAAAGCGATAAAGGCTTATCTTTAGGCTATGGGAAAATCTTTTAGCTTCTGGTCCCAATCCCTCAAGAAAACCCACAAAAGGTTATTGTCAGCTATGATCGGAAATCAACCAAAAATGGTTTTACCCAATAGCTGCTAGCAGAAGGGCCAGAAAGTTTATTTCTTTTTGTTTCATACGCACATGCATGCACACACACAAACACACAAAACACTTCCATTTTCTTCTCTTCCCAATTTTTTGCCCTGTGGTTGGTTGAGAATCTGAATTATTTACAAGGAGTATCTAGCAGATTGTATGATCCAATACAGAGTATGGATCTAAAAAAATGTATTATAAAAAACCATGGTAGCTATGTTTGAGAGAGGTGAGAGAAGTGGACAAATGACCATTATACACAATGATAAATTACAAGAAATAGATGTATACTGATAGAATGTTCACAAAACATGAGAAATGGATAGAGAAATGTTAAGATGTACAGTACCAGTAGAAAGGTAGCCTGATCTATATGAAAAATTAATGTTTAAGAAGCAAAATTTGTTTTATTTACTGCATAAAAAACCATGCTTCTGCTACTTTGCCATATGAAAGTGAGAGTTGGGTGTTTCAGGAGAAATACAGAAGTTACTTGAATGCAGTGGCAATGGGGAATTTGTGTGATAACAAGGCAAAATAAAAAAATAAATGGATTATGAAATACTGTAAATTAAATAAAAAAGTATCCAACATGAACAATAATAATGCAGAGTAGCATAATCATATAGCTGAATGATTTATATGATCTGAAGGGAAACCAAAATGTTATATGCAGTAAAGAAAGTAAATGAAGATCAAATTGCAAAACATATATAGGAAGAATTAACAGAGTACAAATAAAAAGATTAAGAAAATCATGGGTCTTTCTCACTGATCTCAGCTAAAATCCTTAAGACATATGTAAGCACACATACAAAATTATGACCAAAAAAGAATTGTTTCAAATAACTACATTGGTCCATGAACTGAAACCAAACAGAACAGGTAAAATAAATGTATGGCATATTTCAATGACCTGTCCACACCAAACTGAAATAGTTTTTAATAATGAAAAAAACAAGTTTAGAAATGTTCTGAACAATGTTCTGAACAAACAAGATTCCTGCCAATGTGGAAATTTAGTTACAATTCTACCTTTAACTAATAATAGGAGAGCAATGATTGGGCATAGATAGGAACCACCTCCCTCAAAGCAGCCTTGGGCACAATCATGACTTTTGAACAATTAAACAACTGGTATCAAATTTCTGAAATGTCCTCCCAAAGATGACATTTCTAATCACCGAGTGCATATCAGGTAATTTGCCTCAAAATCACTTGTATTTATTTATGTGTTGCATATTATACACAAATACAGCAAAACTGGAATGAGATACATGGAAAATATAAAGATAATTATGTTATCTCTGAATAGTACAATACAGAAGTAAACAACTAGCAATTTTTAAAGATCTTGCAACTAGGTAGTCTGAAGACAAACTGGCCTATTCAGACAAGTAAAATGAAGGGGGGTTTATTGTCTAATCAATTTAGGGGTTGCAAAATTAAGGAAAATGTAGGCAGAGAGCAGGTAGAAGTCAGATGGGTTATAGTTCCTGACCTGAATAAATAACAGGTTTAGTTTCTTCATCCTTCTATCAGGCTGTTAATGGCTACAACAGTTATATTCTTTCAGAATCAAGTGGGAATATGACCCAGAGACTTCCTGTCCACGTTCAGCATTTTAATCATCACTTAGTTTCTTCAGACGCTACAATTCAAACTATCAATGCACATTTTGCAGCAAGCTCTACTTTTCATTTTCTCAGTAGAATATTCCTGTGTATGTTCAGAATTTTAAAAAAAGAACATTAAGAAACAACTATTGCTAAATGTCTCTTTGATGACACTAAGTCTGCAGAAGGGAGATGGGTGTGTAAAGTAACCACAAACCTTTTAGTAGATAATGTCCAGACCACTAATCTTTAGAATGAGTTCTTTCTCACAACAATCTGACTTTGCTACCCGAAGGATCCTGTTACAACAAGTATATTGTTTCTTTCACTGTTGCAGCAGATTGGATCACCAAGTTTGTACTATCATAAGTGGGCTTCTTCCTATGATACAAAATACAAAACAATCACAACAGGAGGAATCAGCAGAGGTTGGAGCAAGTGAAAAGCATTTCTGGTTCTGAAGTTCTACTGACAAAAGGAGATTTATTTATTTATGTTTTATGTAAACTCCCACTCCCATGGCAACAACCATCAATCAATGAAATAGGCCATTTTATGGGCTCCGTTCTACTCTGGGGTCCCCAGGCCCGTTGGCAAAACCAGATCTTTCAGGGTCTTGCGAAAGAGTCAGGGTGGGGGCCAATCTCCGTGGGGATGATGTTCCACAGGGAGGGAATTACCAGAGAGCAGGCCCTTCTTGATCCTATTAGATCAGGGGTGTCAAACTAGCGGCCCGCAGGCCAGATGAGTCACACGCAGGCCACTCATCCCAACTCCGCGAAGGGAAAAAACATCGCGATACATCACGTGACAGCAACGTGACATGGTGAGTTTGACACTCATGTATTAGATGGACCTCCTTAGGAGAGAAGACCCATAGCATGCCTTGCCTCCTTGTTCTGGTGGGTCATGTAGATGTGACCAGGAAAAATAGTCCGTCAAATAACCTGGCCCAAGCCATGTAGGGCTTTGAAGGTGACAACCAGCACCTTTAATTGGACCCGGATGTACACAAAGACTGGGGAAATACTTGAAAACATGCTCACAATAACTAATGCAATCAGGAGAAACACTATGGAAAAGGTGGGAGGCTGAAGGAGGCAGGAAGAATATATAGCAGTTTTAATAAAATCCATTCTTTGCTCAATAATTTGAGTGGGACCCAGCAATTTATTTTGGAATAAACCCAAAGAAATTAATATGTGAACATTAGGTGGATGTTTCAAGAAATACATATAGAATTGCAGCAAAATAAGACAGAAGAAACTTCACATCTGGTTATAGGCTATTTTCCTACATTTAGTCTACTGTCTTGTCTGTCTTGATAAGAGTTATATCTTAAACACATCAGAAGGGCACTGGGTTTGTGTTAGTTATAACTAAGGAGATATCCCATATTCACTCCTGGACTTTGTTTACAGAAAGTGGATGGCCATTGCATGGAGTTCAGTCTTTTCTCTTTTGCCCAAGAGCCAATTTTATGAAATCAACTGAAGTGAGTATCTCTTATTGAAGAGAAACTGTTTTTCTGAATTATTCGGCCTTTCTATTTTATAACTATAGTTAGCAATAAACATGTGTAAAAGGAGAATCAGGTGCAGGAAACCAAAGACTTCAAATATTGGTGAATTACAGTTCCTAGCTTGTACAGCTGACATGGGTTTACACATAGGTTGCTATGAGTTGCTGTGAGCTCATCAACATTTGAAAGCCACAGGTTCTCCAGGTTTTATGTTTTAACATGTTAAGGCGGTATTATCATGTAAAGTCATAGAATATAAGAGATTTAGTTTATATCCCATCATTGCTCTAAGGAGCTCCAAGTGCGTTTGTGGGGTGGGGTATCACCTTTCTTTTATTTACACAAATAGACTGTGCTGAGAAAAATGGTTGAGACCAATTCACCTGGTGGATTTTAAGGTGAAGTAGGGCTTCACTGTTCAAGTCCAAATGCTAATTACAATACAATATTAGCAATGACATCATTATACTTCTATAAATTTACACACTATTATTATAAAAATCTATTTCACTCTGTATATGGACCCAAGCTAAACAGGGCCAGGAAAGTGTGAGAATTTTGAATCTATGTACTTTAGGGTAATAAGACATTTGAGTCCTGAGCAAGATAAAACCCAATATTGTAGAAAATCAAGGTATATTTCAAATGTAGATTCCAATTCCTACGGTAGTACCTCCTCCAAATATCAGATCTGATGTGACTTTCTATATGTCTGGGGATTGCACAAGGGTAGCTCAAACCTAGCTGTTAAGTCAAGTGATTAACAAAATCCCTGAAATCTGGAAAGGAACTGGATGCTTTCCAGTAACAAATGCTAAAATATAAAGAATTGTCTGCATGGATGCAAACTGTAGTTCAAACTATTGATATGTGGACTGACTAGCAGTACAACCGTTGCATTCTTATTCTGAGGTAAATCCCTTTGCACCCATTGGTTCTAGAAAATTGTGCGCAGCACTAAAATTGCATTGTGTAAGCCCAATGCTTACTTCAAAAGAAGCCAGGAAATGATTGTATTGCAAATGCTTACTAACCCAAAACAAAAGAAAACAAAAATACACTTTCATTGTCAAAAATAAATCGAAGTGTATGTTTGCATTTTGTCTCAACCAGTTCCACCAAAACCTCTTAAGCTATACAAACAAATAAGAGAAGCCCTCTGATTAGTTTTCTCAGCTCTACTTTCCTTTCTAGGGCATAAAATGGTCCACTTTCAAACCAGCTGCTTAAATAATTGCTGCATTTACTGACTGATTTCATGAATATCTGCTTAATGAAAAACTTCATAGAAATATAGGTGTATTTCTGTAGATGATAAAGAAGTATAAGCTTATCAACAAGTGAAGTCTTAATTTACCCAGGGAAGATATAGTCATCATATTCAGCTCCATTACCTAAAAGATGTTAATAATTTAAAAATGAACCATACCAATGTTTGCTTGGAACTAAATCTCATAGGCTTATTCCCAGGAAAGGCTTATTCTCAGGAAAATATGTCCAAATTTGTTTCCTAAATTTGAGTTTGGTTAATCTACCAAAGAAAACATCTAACCTAAATATTGAAATTGATAATGAAATGCCAAAGTTAAGAGGACTATGGACTTAAACCAGCAAGAGCTGATTGCTGCTGTCTCATGCATTTAGGAACTCAGAGTAAGAGGGATGCTAACTGACCCTCCTATTACAAATATTAGTGATGCAACTGAGGCCTGCCACCTGTTCCTCTTTCCAAATCTTTCTTCCAAATAATTTTATTAAAGATTACAAATGGAATAAAAACTAAGAGAGACTACAAAAAATATAAAAAAGAAAAACAGAATGAAAAAAAAAAGGAAAGTAGTGCTTCCCCCTGCATCCCAGCAAATGTGAACAATTTTACTAGCTTATCATCATTTCTTAATACAACATATACTCTCTTTTCCCCATAGCTTATCTCTAAACTAAAAACAAAATCCAAAAACGTTGTCGTTGTTCCTTATCAACAGAAGTTGAATAAGGAAAACCAGATATAATTAATTAATTAATTAATTAATTTTGTCAAGCATATATAACAGGTAAAAGTATAAACATAATTTGAATACATGAAAAGAGTAAGTAAAAAGGAACATTAGGACAGGGACGGTAGGCATGCTGGTGCACTTATGCACGCCCCTTACTGACCGCTTAGGAATGAGGTGAGGTCAACAGTAGACAGTTTAAGGTTAAAGTTTTAGAGGTTTGGGGAAGAAACTACAGTCAGGTAGTGCATTCAAGGCATTGACCACTCTGTTACTGAAGTCATATTTTCTGCAATCGAGTTTAGAGCGGTTTACCTTGAGTTTGTATCTATTATTTCCTCGTGTATTGTTGTGGTTGAAGCTGAAGTAGGCATTGACAGGTAGGGCATTGTGGCAGATAATTTTATGTACTATGCTTAGGTCAGACTGAAGTCGGCGTAGTTCTAAGTTGTCTAAGCCCAAAATTTTGAGTCTCGAATGAATAGGCCAATCATATATTCCTTTCCTGTGCTTTTGAACAATTTTGATTTTTAACCTCTTCAAATAAAATCCCAGAACTTTATTTCTGTTCATCTTTTTCTTTCTCCGAAGAAACTTTCAGAACTTTAAAATATCTCTTTTGTATATCCAGAAGTAAGCTATGTCTCTTTTTTCGGTCACTTCTCAAAAAGATTTTAATAGATTTCTTTTGTCCCTCCCTCTTTCCAAATCAAGGTACACTGCATACAGGAATCAGGCAATTCTTATCAGATTGCCTGGTTCCAACAGAGGTATTCAAGAAGTCCCATAGCTTCTCTATGGGGATGATTCCTATAAGTGCGAAGAAAATGGTGACCAAAGAAGCTAGATAAGATGGCTCCTGGGTTGGATTAGAACCTGTCACCTGGTGGCTTTCACCAGGCTTTCACCAACTAGCAAACAGGTAGTCCTTGACACACAGCAGTTTGTTTAGTGACCATTCAAAGTTACAAATGTCACTGAAAAAAGTGACTTATGATCATTTTTCATACTTACAGCCATTGCAAGCATCCCCATGGTCACCTGATCAAAATTCAGACACTTGGCAAGTGACTCATATTTATGACGGTTGCAGTGTCGTGTAGATACATGTACAGGGGTCATGTAAATCACCTTTTGCAACCTTCTGATAAGCAAAGTCAATGGGGAGGCCAGGTTCACTTAGCAACCACGTTACTAACTTAACAACTATAGTGATTCACTTAACAACTGTGGCATAAAATGGGGCAAAATTCACTTAAGAAATGTTTCACCTCGCAACAGAAATTTTGAGATCAACTGTGGTCATAAGTCAACGACTACCTGTACAACCTTGAAACCCAACCTACAATGAGCTGCTCTCTTGTGTGAGAAGGTCTTTTCAATACATCTGCCTAGATCAGAAAGACTTCTGTAGAAGACTCACCTGGTATCTATAGTTGAGAGTGGTCTTTCCGTACTGTGGATAGCACTAAAGGCAAAATTAAATTGGGAGCCAGAAGACGATTTAAAAGGTCCACAGCCATCATCACCAAAGCAAGTGTCTTCCCTGAAAAGATTGCCAATTTCCCCACTCCAATGCATAGACACTTTGAAATAAGATGCACGTGCTACCTTCATATTAGGTGACAACACTGGGAGGAGCAATACGCGGCAGCATAAGACATGTTCAGTGCACATCCGCTTTAAACAAAAAACACACACCATCCTGGGCACAGCCATCAATCGGCAGGAAAAAGACCAAGATTTAAAACCAGCATTTTTCCCCAGATTTGCTGTTTAAAGAAACTCCCAAAGGCAGAGTCTTATTTCGTGACCTACCCCCACCCCCATGTTCTTTTCCCCAGAATCCAGATGCTGACAAA